TGGGTTCTGATCCGAATCACTGATCAGTTATGATCTGTTGCACCCCTATAAACTATACATGATGGATAAAAAAATACAATACTTAACTTTTCTATGAAGAAATTAATAATATCTTGGTAAGCATTAAAAGCAATCTGAAAGACATCTGAATGAGCTGTTTAGATCAGCATTTGAAAACCCACAGTGGCCAAACACTAACTTTAATTTATCTGTTGTCTGTGTTGCTTTTTTATGGAGACCAGAAATAAACATCAAACAGTGATACAAGTAGCATTCTTCCAATGCTGGGAATCCAGTTTTGATCTACTTGTGCGTTTCTCTGAGATTTTATTTCCTTAAACACAATAGAGGCCATTGATATCAAAACAGACTTCTTCAGGCAATGAGCTGGTCCTTATGGGAGAAAATCTGTTCAGCTAGGGTCACATGAGTTAACTTGGGAGTTCCCTAGTACTAGACTGAAGTGCCTGAGTCATGTTACTCAACTTATTGTTGTCCAGAATGGCCATTCATAAAGTGCACTATGAAATGTGAGAACTGAAGCGTAAACATGAGTCATCACATTGTTGGAAGCAGATATGTCCATAGGTAAGGGGCGGGCTAATGTATATTTAAGCTGTTCTTCATGCTGAATAAATCCTAACATATCAGTTGTACAACACTAACACTAAATGTCCGTGTTGTACGAAAACAACTGTCTAGATGTACATAAAAAGTAAACTACACACAAAAAAACAATTAGACAAAACCCTAATTCTAGTTTTTTACAAGTTAAAATACTAATTCTATAATTAAAAGAAAAATGTCTGATTGCAGCCTACACTTGTGACTTATACAGTCACCAAATTGCACTAAACTGTCAAGAAAAGCATTGTGTCCCCAAGAGCTGTATAATAAATGTTTTAAATGGCATAATATTTATCATCATAATAATTTTTTTTACTGAATCAGTATTGTAAAATGGATAATACGGAGATTGGTAAATTAGTCAATTTTTATTAGGTCTTTTTAAGCTCAAGGACAGTGTTTTGCTTCTGTAGTGAGTTTGGCACACATAAATAGTCAGAAACATCTAGGTGGAACCAAAAGATTTTTTTTAATGTTCTTTCTGCTGATGTGCTTTTTATTCAGAGATAGTGGGTAAGATTAAGAGTTTATGTGAGCTCTCAGTACAAAAATAGACACCATATTAAGTGCCTTTCACAATTGTGACAATGATCCCCAGTGGATTCAACTCTGTGGAGTAAAGCATCAAATTAAAGTCGCCATGATGTTCTTAGGTTCACACTATGCAGTGACCCTGTGTACATGCACATGAAAATGACATTAAAATCAGTAGGGATTGGACGAAAGACTGATTTTGTTCATATGGTATTGATAATATACATGATTATTATAAAATTATTAGGTTTTGTCAACTTGATCATAAGTGTTTGGCTAAATTCCTAAACTTATCCAACATGTCTTAACTAGCAAGTAGCTGTTGAATAATTAGTCTTGCTCCTCAGATTCAAATTAGAGGACTCAGCCTTTTTGTAACTGACAATAAAATGTTGAAGTGTTGAAGGTAAAAAAAAAAAAGACTAACCAAGGAGTTTATACAGCCGACCACAGGTGTTTATGGAGTCTAAAACATTTGAACTAGTCCCCTTTCTACCACTTCCAGAGATAATCAAAAATACATTTTATTGAATTGCTATCATGCACATAAAATGCATTCAAACCAACACAGAAGACCCCTTAAACCGGTGGTGGGCAATTGATTTTTCCATTTAGAAAATTGACACTGGGTCATTTTAGAGGACTGAACCAATACTGTTAATATACGTTTTCCAAAAAAGAAAACAATATATGCAAAGCAATTTAATGAGACTATAAGATGCAGAGCACAGAATTTTACAGCATAGTAGCTACAGCACACAAATAATAATCACAGAGAGCGTATCTGTATCTGATTTTGTTAAATCGTTTGTCTGAGGTAATTAATCTACCGTTATTACTGTGTACATTCGGTACAATTGGGAAGTTGACTGGTTGGTTCTTGTCACATGATTCTTGCTAAAAAGTAAAACAGTGCGATGCCAGAGCTAAATTTTTTAGATTTGCTGCTCCACTATATTAGTTTACAGAGAATCTTCACTTGTGCATGCAACAAGCTAGGAGAATGACAACACAGGAAGTACCTTCATGCATATCTCTCAAAAAAATGTAAATTCACATGATAATGACATAGAGTGCACAATCTTTGATTGGTTGGCTTGGTACTGTTGGCAACTGTAGGTGGAGCTAAGAGCCATATAAAAAGATAGAACCCAGTGGCCAGTCACTTTTGTTTTGTTTAGTTTGATTAAAGTTGATGAGCATTTGGTGTTTCCCCCCTTTTTTTCTTGAATGAGTGCTTGTTTTAAATAGTGCTACAGTAACATTGCACACATTTCAGACGAAAGCCTGAAACACTGGCAAAGATACTTGACAGAGTGGAACATAGAAAACCCATTGACTAATAGCATTTCAGAAGTGTTGTTGCGAGAGCAACATAGACAGAAGGCAGAAGTATAAATCACAGGAGCGTGGGCTGCATGCAAGGTGTTCACCGTGGGGTACGGCAAACACTTGACGCAAGAGGATAAATCAGGCTTAATTGTATTGAAATGACAACCTCTCATTTTATTTATGTAAAGTTCATTACATAGCTATGTATTATGGACAGTAATGCTTACTGTAGTAGACAGACATCATCATCGCTCCTATGTAGGCACAGGACAATAACTGGTTCAAGGTTTACTGTGATTTGTTAAAAACAATTCATGTTTTTTTTACATTTTTTTTTTTTTTATTTCACGTTTTTATTTAGGTTTTTAGGGCAAGAGTATCTCCAACAGAAAATCTTCATATCAAAACCTACTGGTCAGACCACGATTCAGCAAAAATTTGAAAAGCAAATAACTTTCAGTATACACACATAAAAGCATGCTGTAGACCTGAACACTTCAGTGGCTTGCTTTATATTAAAAAAAGAAGGATATCCAAAGATGTCTGAGCAGGATGTTTTCACAGCTCTTGTTTGAAAAAATAGTCAGTAATAGTGGCGGAGTAAAGCTTTGTTTAGGTGGGAGTGTCCAGTGTCCAAAGAGGGAAGGGTTTGCATGTAAAGGGGTGTTTCATTACATGCACTACAGCGGCAACAAAAACACAGATAGAGATATTTCACTGTCTGAGATAGACAGTAGCTGCGTCCCAAATTGCATACTTATGCACTATTCTACGCCATTTTGTAGTATAAATATTGTAATTAGTGTGTTCACACTGAAAACTCTAAAAATAATAAGTGCACTTTAATTACCCGGATGATGCACTCATTCAGCCGCTAAAATGAAGTGTGGAATGATGGACACTTCACGCACTCAACGACTGCACGTTTGCTTACGTAGCGGAAGGGGCGGAGCTATCGGACGCACATGTTGAATAACTTTATTTATTTTGGAGTGTGAAAGCAAAATTCTCCTACAAGAGTGATTATAGCGTCTCCCGATGGTGAATGCGGCAATACTCACGGCAGGTATTATTTGATAAGTCGGGTGTTTATTTTACTGATTTGGCAAACGTCCAACGTCATCAGGGAAACGGTTTGAATTTCCGTTTAGTAAAAAAACATTAGTGTGCCATTTGGGACAACACTACATACAAATACTATCCTGTTGAGTGTGTAAGTGCATAAGTACATAGTGCATGAGTGCATAGTGTATAGTGTGCCATTTGGGACGCAGCTAGTGAGTCGGAGAGCAGCAGGTCTGAGAGCTGTGTGGAAGTGGAGGATTTTCATTCTATAATATTGTAGTGATATTACTGTAAACTTAGTAACTAAATCATTTTGATTAAGTTATGTCTTTAAAAGCTGAAAGACTTCTACTGCTGATAATACTAACTAACTTTGCCATCTGAATAAACATGAACAAAGAACATTGATCTCACACTTACCAAATCTTTAGAGACGGGACAATCAACACCAACTGGAACAGTGTTTTTTTTAAAAAGAAGACAAGTGGCAAATCTGGATTTCACCATTTCCAGATGCGAAAAGCTCTCTGGTTCTAAATGTTACACATTTATAAACAACACCGATGACCCATGTCTTTGAACAATTCTTTAACTACTTGTTTGAATTACGGTTAGCAACACAACGTGGCTTCTCTCTGAACACTGTAACAGGTAAAAAGAGTCTTCGAAACTATATCATGCATATTAATGAAGTTGCATCCCGTTCACAGTAGAGCACGCTTCTTGGTTCGATTCAAGTCTTTCTTATGACTTAATGAACAGGTGTGCTAAAAACTCAATGATGTCACTTTGTAACGGCTGGTACGAATAGCCAGTCTCTACGCTGGAATTTACGCAATGATCTCATCGCCATGATGTATCTTCAAAATTTCTTTTTAAGCCGGAAGAAAAAATTTGCTCGACTGTGCAAAAACAACCAATTTATACTTTTTTTTGTGAAATATATGCATAATAATAGTGTTTTTAGCAATGTTTGATGTCTGTCAACATCCCAAAAAATGCATTTTGGTGTTTTGGGACCCTTTAAGTTGTAAAGAAGTCAGTGTTATTGAAACTATTGAAGACAGCAGAAGTCAATCAATTTGTTTTTAATAATGTAGTCTGACATGTTTACTGTTCCAAAATATTTTAAAAGTTTCTTAACTTGAAATATATTGTATTCAATAAGAAAAAAGATTTTTGTTTTTTACCCAGACATTCAAAAAGAACATATTTTAGAGCAGTGATCACCATTACATAATATATATATAAATACTATTATACTGTGTTTTTTTGAGGATATACAAAAATGATGTGGTGCAATTGGATTGAGTGTGATGTTCAACACTATTCCTATGAGTTCTCTGCTTTGTGTTTAGATGAATGGCTTGCACATCTATATTGTGTCTGAAATTGAAAAGGTGGTAACCATGAAATAAAATGTTCCTCTTATTTCCCGGTAGGCCCAGCAGATGCTGTATGCATGCATGGAGAAGGTGGATGTTTCAAACACGGAGGGCTACGACCTGTTTCTCACCCAGCTCAAAGAAGGCCTGGAGAATACCTCACATGAGACAGCAGCCAATCACAAAGTGGCAAAGGTGAGTCCAATGGGAAGACGGATGAGTCATCTCAACTCTTCTTATCATTAAAAGCTTTTTGGAATTGCAGAGTTGTACGAGAAGTACAAAGTGTAGGAAATATAAATAGCCTAATGAATAATCAGCCTAGCTTACTAAAGGTCAAACACACTTTTTTTTTTTTTTTTCCCTCACTGTTTAGAGTCAAAATTGTGCTTTTGTTTGATTCTCATAATTATCTTTTCATGATCTTTGCATTAGCTGCGTTATGGTAACAGTTTACAGTTAAACTTAGTCAAATCAAAACTGACAGTATATCACAAATGAAATGCATCACAATTTTGAACTTGTTTTATTATATTGTTTTTTGGGTGATTGACTGTGTCACAATATGAATTGAATTCTCACATTACAAATTTAAAACCTAACATTTGGATTACTATTTGGAACTTTGTTTCACAAATACCGGTTTTCCTCTTAAGCTGAAATGGGCTTTCATATTGACCATTTTGAGGGATGTAAACTAAAACAATGGTCACAATGTATTTCCCATTTTACATTTTTTATTTAATATTAATAAGTTTTGCTTATAATGCTCTTTTCTCTGACCCAGAATAAAAAACACAATAGAGAAACATAAAATATCAAAACACAGATAATTAAAAATGAAAAAAACTCATAGATTAAAAGCAATACTAAATAAAAAAGTGAGTTTTAAGTAATTTCTTAAGACAGTCCAGGGAAGTGGCCCTCCTGATGTTTGTTGGTAGAGCATTCCATAATTTGGGTGCATGGTAAAAGAATGTCCTATAGTCCTACCTCCTATTGTGCTGAGTTTGCTACGAGACTGAAACAAAGTAATACCCGAAGCAGAGTGCAAACAGCTGGAAGAAGAAGATACAGACACCAAAAAACAAATATAATCGGGAACAGAATCACGAACTGCTTTATATGTTAAAATCAAGGATTTAAATCAATGCATGACTTAACGGGTAGACGGTGTAGCTGTTGAAGTACAGGGTTAATGTGAGAATGAGACGACGTGTCAACACACGTGTAACTGAATTTTGAATATATTTTAATGTCCTAAGAGAATTGGCTGGCAAACACCCAAACAGAGAATTACAAAAATCTAAATGAGGCGTGATAAAGGGATGGGCTGCGATATTTTGTAGGTGAAAAAAGCAGTACTTTTTAAGTGTTTAAAATGGGGTTTTAAAGTAAGTTGAGCATCAAAAAGTACACCAAGATTACGCACCTGCGTTGAAGGTCAGAATATGACCCATTTCCTCTGAGTGGTATGTTATGGTTCAGGACGCTTTTGCGGCCATTTTCACTGTCAAAAGGAAAAGGGTACCAAAAGGCTAAGCAAGACATGCTACTGAACGATATTGGTTTACAGAGACACATCACTAGCTCTTGCACAACCCAGAAGCATGAAGACAGAGGCAGCAACATTTTTATATACACAGTGAGACATTACACCATAAAAATATATACATATATTAACAAGCCATGGTCGACCCGCACTTAAACAAATCTTATAGTCATCTTGATGAACAGCCACAAAGTCAAGAAGAAGAGCAAAATGTACCCTGTGCCCTGTTTTTGTTTACAAGGCCATCTAAAGCGTGAGCAGTTTCGCTTTCTCGCTTTCTATATTTGAAATAATGAACTTCTTGAGCTGATGAAAATAACATGCGCAAAATTATTGAAGTGCTTCTGACATCTGATCCTTTCAGAAACGGACAAACGCGAGAGTGAATCATGACAAAACAAAGGGGAAGCCCAAAAAACAAATAACCAAACAATCCTTTAAACAACCTAAAACATGAACAAACAGCCATGTTTAACTATTATCATCTCTTTTTGGACTATTATGAAATGGGAATGGTGGAATGGCTTTCTAACATGAGGTTACATGTGAGAATAAAGATACAGATGAGAGGTTTACACTGACTGTGGGCTATATGCTGCGTGCTGTTTTTGAACCCAAATAAGGACTAAATTTATGCTGTGTGTAGTTTTTCTTAAATTGGTAACATATTAGAGACTAAGGGTGCTTTCACACCTACTCTTTTGTTTCGGAACATGTCTCGATTGCCCAGTTAGCGCGGTTCGATTGGCATATGTGAACAGGGCAATCGCGCTCTGTTCCGCGCCAAAGTAATCGCTCCGAGATCGCTTGAATGAGGTGGTCTCGGCTCGATTGAAACGAACCCTGGTGTGGTTCGATTGCAGTGAGAAAGCGATCCGATCCGAGCGCGGTTATTTCACAGTGTTTTATGGATATGTAATAGGCTTACGGCTATATAAAGATAGAATTATGAGTAGGGCGGGAAGTTTCGCGAGTCTCCGGATGCCCGCAAACGAGTGATGATCTCCCGGTAATCTCGCGTCTCCCTCCCGGTCCTCAAATAGGCATCATCGCGCACCCTTCTCACCCCTCCCTACCGCATCTCTCCTCAGATACGTCAAGCGCGCACCCTGTTAATCACCACCTCTTCTGACAGCTTAGTGGGACGCTGCAAAATAAACCCTGACACTCTGACCAATGTAAGGAGAGTTTACTCACACGTGACTTGTTTTAGCTCTTTTGGTCCAATTAAAAACTTTGCAGTGTGAAAGCCAACTGCCCCAAGAGCAAAGAGCAACAATGTAACAATTGTACACTTTGTTTCGGAACAACTGAATTGATTCACAGGTGTGAAAGCACCCTAAGAGTCTCTGTATGTGTTCATGTATGTTGCATTTATTTATTTTATATAACAGTTATAATCAAATCATGTTCATAGAAAGGTTAGTAATGAACAATTATATACCAGTAATTTTTTTTTTAGAAAGCATCTTTTGTGAGAAGTGCTTCTCATGATATGTGAGTGACCAGCTTTACTTTGCCATTTCTTTGAGCGAGATTGGTACCCTTATGGCAGTGAAAAAACAAGCCAGATAAAGGTGACCAGTACCGTACTATACCACTCAGTGCAAACAGGCCAATAGAGATGCATCAACTGTTAAAGTAAAATTGCTACACCTGTTAAGAGCAGAGGTAGAGCCAATGAATTAAATCTCATTTTTGGAGCTATTTAATTTGAACTTTTTTTGTTATATCCAGGCTTTAATTTTCGATATTGAAGCAGATAAATTAGGAGTGGTACTAATATTGATCTGAATACAATTTTTTTGTAAGATTTGTACAAGAGGCAACATATAAATGCTAAATAAAAGTTTTCCAAAACTGTTTTTATAGGGACTCTCCATAGATTGTTTTCATACTGTAATGATTTTACATTTTGAAAAATGATAATTGATTTTCATACTGTACAAGCTGTATTTTCTATCCCCCTTCCACTAAATTCCAGCCCTCACAGGAAAAAAGGCGCATTTTTAAATTGTTTTAATATAAGTTACTTCTTTCTGTGTGATCTCTGAGCCATTTTTCTTATGGGGACCAAACAAAAAATGTCCCAATAAAGTCAAAATGTACTGTATTGCTATAATTGTGGGGGCATCCTTAATTGTGGTGTCCCCATCCACACACACCCACGCGCACACACATTGTAGTATTGCCCATCTATTCATTATTGTGCAGTGCTGGGATTTGGCTTCATGTTTCAGGACTGCAGACCTTTGTGCGGCTACTTTTTCCTTTTTAAATTCGAGGACCCCATAAAATCAGATTAAAAGCTTTCCAGCACAGTGTGTGTGTGTGTGTGCACGCGGTGACATGTTTGCTGATGTAATGCAATCTGACTGTGTTTGTTTGTTAATAAGCAAGAATAGTTGAGTCATGTAGCTTTACAGCATATAGATTATTGATGAGGCTGGTCCTTCAAGTGGCTGATCTGTGCAGACTCACACAGACACTCACACACACAACGCTGCCGCAGAGCTCACTGGTGTATCAGTAGCCCTGCAGTAACAGGAGGATGATCAAAGACTCCCTCTAATGCACCTGTGCTGCTCAAGTCTGCCAGAGCTGAAGACATATTAATACTCCTTCAGTCTTTATACGCACTGTGCTGCTGACTGCTACTGTAAGGATGCAAAAAGATGACGCATGGATTTGGTGGGAATTTGTTTTTGAAGAGAGACAATATGCTTTAGATTAAAAAAAAAAAAAAAATATATATATATATATATATATTTATATTGTTTTCTGCCTTTTAGTATGATTGTCTTAATAGTTTCGCTTCATTATAACAAATTTAAATAATTTAATAGATAAAATGTACCAGTCATGCATTTTGGACTGTTTGGCTCCATTGCTGGAACTGCTTGGGACCCCCAAATCACTAAATCCACCCCTGCATGTAAAATGCGCTTAATTGTTCTTTCATACTTTGTTACTGATTAATTTTTCAAGAATAAAAATTAAGTATTGCATTATTTAGAAATCATTTGTATTTAAGAGTAGATGGGTGTTTTTAAGATCATAAATAACGATCATATATAGTAAATGATCAATAAACTATTCAAATCAACATTTATATATTTGATTATTCAGGCATATAGTAATAGTTTTTAGTTTCTGTTAATAAATGCTTTAATAACTCAACTTCATCCAGTTTTGTGACCCGATCTAAAGTGAGGACTATTTATGCTTCATTAATTCATAATAAACGTCAAATGAACAATAGATCTTTGCGATCTTATCTAAAAAGTAAAATGACTGAAGTTTAAACAATGCCGAATAACAGGAATGTCTAATAATTTTAAAATGGGATAAAACAACAATATAACAATTTAACAATGCATTATGTTACAACATTTCAATGTTATTTAGTGATGTTTTTAAACTGTACAGTAATTTGTTTTAGTTAAGATGGCAAAGATTTATTTTTCATCTGATTAGTTTCATTTGTGTCTTTAATTGAACAGAAATGAATAGAGCCGTTTATTTATTTATTTTTTTCCTGTTTAGAATATAACTGAGCCTTTAATTTTCATTTATGAGGGATTTATAAAGCATAAATAGTCTTCATTTTAGATTAGGTTACAAAAATAAATGAAGTTTAAAAAGCTTTTATTAACATACAAAGTAACTGTCACTGTATGCTTGATATTAAGATATAAATGTGAATTTGATTATATTACAGATTTTGTACAAGGTAATACAAATAAATTTTTCTAAATGTATCAGTGAAAAGCAATACCAAAATTACACAATAACGACAAAAGCAAAAGTCAGCAAAAATATATTAAATAAGTATATTTAAAAATATAAAAAAATAAAAAAAAATGTGTATATAAATGTATATAAGAATATAATCAGAATTATTAGCCCCTTTTTAAATTTTATTATTATTATTTTATTTACATATTTCGCAAATGATGTTTAACAGAGCAAAGGAATTTTCATAGTAAGTCTGATAATATTTTTTCTTCTGGAAAAATCTTATTTGTTTTATTTTGGCTAAAATACATGAATAAAAGCTGTACAAAAGCTGACTTCAACTGTATATAATTAAATAAAATGATAAATAAAACGTTAAATCTATAATGAATTAGGTTAGTAAAATCTAGGAAAAATATATAATACTTTGATTTGTCATTTTATTTCTTAATCTCTTTTTGTTACTTATTTCTGCTGCTTTCTGTCTTTTTCCAATTCTCTCTCTCTCTCTCTGTCTCTCGTTCTCTTTGACATTCACTGTCCTTTAATCTTGGGCTGATCTTGAGCTCTCATTACTGCAGTCTCTGTATCAGATGCAAACACGTGTACAAAGAGCAGAGCTTTCTTTACTCTTGTGTGTATAGCATGTGCTGATCACATCTCTGTAATGAGAAAACAAGAGTATTGCTTATCACACTGGCAGTCTGCTGCCCCTTTTATTTGCATGGTGTGTTTACAGGAATCCCACATGAATGCTGATCTGGGATTCCCCATTTATACACAAATCATTCATTCAGATCTAGGGACAGAAACAATCCTAGGTCAGTGCTGTTTTATGAGGCTTTAACTAAATGGGCTTCTGCAGTTATTAATGACGACATGTTTCTCCCTTGCATCCTCCAAGCCATCAGCATATTACTGCAGTCCTGTTCATGCAGTTTTTCGCAGTGGACCACAGCATCAGCCCCATGTGGTAAAACGAAGCGCAGTGTTTCCTTGTGTAGTCATCCACACACCCTTTTTTCCCTCCTAATTTGGCCTACATCCAGTTTGCACTGCTGTAACAATGATGGTCAGCTTCAGTGATGGATTTCTCACTCAGCTCTCCATTGACCCCTATCAGAGCGCTGCGCTGGATTCTGGAACTTTCCTGGCTCTTGGAAAGAGTACAGATTTGGTATCAGGTTGTTTCATGTGTTGTTTGAACATCAGATGGGTTTCTGAAGTTTAAATGAGAGTGAAAGTTCAAATAACTCACTATGCATGTGAACAAGCTTGTTTAGACTTGCTCAGACATTTCAGTTTGGAAAAATACTTAGACACTTTGGTCTGAAAGGCAGCTGAGCTTGAAAAAAAAATTATTAAAGGAGTGTACATTCACACTGCAGCCAGATGTGGCCCAAGTCTGATTTTGTGAACATACGTGGCTCATCTGTTTTTGTCATGACAGTGTAAACAGCACAAACTGCATGAATTCTGATTATTTTAATTCTGATTTATACCGCTTTCTTATGTAGTATTAAATTTGTGAGCGGTTGTGTCTGGATCCATGCGACTTTTTATTATTTTTACATAGACAAATGTATTATTTTATTGCCCTGGTATATACTACAAACATCCTCTTCAATATACTACAAACTCCTCTTAATGCTCATTTACCTTGAATGCAGTGTGGTCTGTCTTTGCGGTTTTCTGTAGCAAATGATCACACTGGTGTGATTGGGACTTTCAGGGTGTTGAGTGATCAGCTGCTAAATTCAAATCTGCTTTCCTGTGAGGGTTTGGACTGAGCCAGAAAAAGATGCGCAGTTGTTATTATGGATCATAATGTATCAGTATTTTCAATTTAATAACACTCTTAATGTTTCTGGCATTGACATGCACACTAGTACTAGCAAAATCCCCATTTTGTAGATTCTAAAATACACCACTGTTGTCTGTGAAACTGTCAATAATAATAATATTAAACAAACTGTTTAATTTGTTCTGGGCGTAGTTTTCCTTGTCCAATTATGGTTTAGGTTTGGACCATAAACACCACAATGGAAATCTGATCATATATTGGTGACACTTTACAATAAGGTTGTATTCGTTTTGGGGTGTATTTGGTTGTACAATGCATGTTTACAGTATTTGTTCATGTTAGTTAATGTTACTTAATGAAAATACAGTTATTCATTGTTAGTTCGTGTTAACTTATGGTGCATTAGCTTATGTTAACAAGCATAAATTGGATTTTAATAAGGCATTAGTAAATGTTGAACTATGATTAATAAATGCTGTATTGTTCAAAATTAGTAAATATATGAACTAATGAAACCTTATTGTAAAGTCTGACCCATATATTATATTATAATATAATACCACATTCAATACAAATGTGAACAGCTATAAAAATTTATGATTTGAGCAATAAACCTTGCAAAATGAATCTAGCCCAAGCTTTTGCAGGTATTACACACTTTTCACGTTTTAATATTTGAACCATTAAAATGTTTGATCTCTTTCCAGTGGGCAACCGTGACCTTCCATCTCCCTCATCACGTGCTGAAGGTGGTAACGAATGCCATCGTGAACGAGCTGAAAAAGTTGAATCAGAATGTGGCAGCCTTATCGGTGGCCTCTTCAGTCATGGACAGACTCTCCTACCTCTTGCCAAGTGGCAGGCCAGAACTGGGTGTTGGACCCGGACGCTCTGTAGATAGGTAACTGCATGTCACATTTAACCTTTATGCAATCACAACAGATCAATGGTAGTTCAAAGGTGTTTGCCTAACTAGACAGAGCAAACTTTTCTAAAATGTTCAATTTTCCGTTTCAAACCCCAGAAACAAATTTATTTTGACCCATCTTTAAACCAGTACCAGTGTTGGGCAAGCTACTTGAAAAATGTAGTGAGCTAAGCCATTAACTACTCTAAAAGCTACCCTCTGGGAAATGTAACAAGCTAAGCTAAAAGCTACTTGGCAAAAGTAGCTTAGCTACATCTAAGCTTTTTTTTGCAGTTTTCATTTTTAAATCGAAGCAACTTAAATCCAGGTCAACCTTATCTTAGTGATCAATAAAACTGTCAATAAAACAAATGAGGCATAATTGTTCAGTTCCATTATTTACTGCAAATAATATTTTACTAAACAGAAACAAAGTTTTATAGTAAATAACAGCAAACACACACAAAAAAACAATAAAATGAGGTGTCACACATTAAAAATATTATAGTAATTTATAGTAAAGGAAAATATTTAGGAAATAATTATCATATTGTGTATATATATTTACAATTCTTTATTAATGAATTATCCATCCATCCATCGTAAATTAATGGTATTGCATCTGAACATTTACTACTTGAGGTATGGACACGAGGAATCCTGCTTCAGAAATAACTCTTCCACCTCGGTCATCTTTCCATCCAGCAATTTTCTCATGTTAGCCTAATTGGTTCGCGACGTCACTGACCAGAGTGTGAGGTGGCAGTAACGCACCAAAAAGTTTGTTGTCGACCACCATAAAACAGGAAGAAGAAATCTTCATTCTCAACATCATATGGATTTACTTTCATCGGCTTGACACCGGCCTCACTAGACACTGCCCAACACTGACAAGTACATCACTAAGATTTGTAGGATCGGTTTTGTGGCTTGTTTCAGTAAAAAAAAAAAAAGTCTCCAGAAACTACCCAGACCAAACCCCCTGATAATCGCTGTATTCACTGTGGTGTGTTTAATGTGTGCAAGCATGTTCCATCCTTTCTACAGAAAGTTTTTATTATATTAAATGGGAAGATGTGTACTGGTTTTTATGTCTGCATAAGTTTAGTTGTTTGGGCCACTTTACTACCAAATATTTGATTTGACTTAAGTGTGTGTGTGTGGGATTTATTTACAGGTCTTTGATGTATAGTGAAGCCAACCGGAGAGAAACATTCACATCATGGCCTCATTCTGGCTACAGGTGGGCTCAGCCTGATCCCATGGCCCAGGCAGGATTTTATCACCAGGTTTGTGTCATCCCTTATGGCTTTGATTCTTCTCTCCTTTCACCTTCTCAGGATCTCTTTTCTTTTCAATTCATTTTCGGTTTCTTTTTTGCTGTGTAAATGAAGGCCACTGACTGAATTTAAAAAGCACAATTGTATCCCCATTTGAAAGTGAAATCAGGCCAACTGTGTTTAGAATGAAAGTAAAATATATTTTTTTAATTCATTCAGACCACAGACATGAATCATTCACGCTGATTAATGTGTGCAGTAGACATTTTCAAAATGTTTTGCTTTCGGATTTACTATGATCTCTGGGAATTCCCTGTGATGCTGTGGTACCTGATGTATTGTCTGTCTTTGAGTCACCAAGCATGCCAAGAAGGGTTGCACTGTGCTGGTAACCAAGGATACCACACTACTTCCCTCACCCATGTTCCCTGTTGTCATGCCAACTGAACAGAACGAGGAGAGAACAGTGCCTCTGTGTTTTGGATGAAAGGGGGATGCCATGGCAAAGAGACATTTTGCTAGTTTAGGATTTAAAGACAGAAATGGAAAAACATGATGAATTATGAAGCAAAGTTGCATTTAAGACTCATCCTGAAAAGTTAAAATAGGAAATGAGGATCTTAAATAGCAAAACACAGCCAGTGTGTGTGATTCTTTGACTTTTTCTGGCTTTGTAGTTGTAGTTTGCTGAAATGTTTTGTTGGCTATATAATGACTGTGAACTGGGCTTTTTTAGCTGCCTAGTGACTAAAACTTTAGTTTTTCTTGTAGCCTGCATCGACAGGTGATGACCGGGCCATGTGCTTCACCTGCAGTGTGTGTTTAGTGTGCTGGGAACCTACAGATGAACCCTGGTGAGAAGCATCCCATTAAATCACAGCCTGCTATGTCAAACTCACTGACACTGCAAAAAACATGGTGCTATAAAAAGATTTAAATAAACATACCCTAACAAATGCCTAAAGCTGAGGGAACTCTCTTGGTATGAAGAATTCCACTAATATTTTATTGCTTCTTTAGGTCTGAGCATGAGCGGCATTCACCCAACTGTCCATTTGTGAAAGGAGAGCATACACAAAACGTTCCACTGTCCGTCACCTTGGCCACAAGCCCTGCCCAGTTTCCCAGTGCAGATGGTTCGGATAAAATCGTGTGCTATGGGTTTGGAAGCTGCCCTCATTTTCTTGCAACAGCAACCAAAAGGGGGAAGATTTGCATCTGGGATGTTTCAAAGCTTATGAAGGTGTTTTTTTTGTTTATCTCTAAATGTGGTAAGAAAGAAACTGTACACCTAAATCTCTTCACTAGATTTACATGTTTTTTTATGTGTACAGGTGCATTTAAAGTTTGAGGTGAACCCGTATGACCCAGCCATCCTTAGGCAGTTGATCCTGTCTGGGAGCGAACAGCAAAATCTCACAGGCACCGAATTACGCAGACCCACACTCTCATGGCTAGAGGAGGCCACATGCTGCTCTGACTTACCCAAACTAGAGGGGGACAGGTTCTAATCCCACATATTCATAATTTTAGTAAGTCATCTTAAGACTATTGTTGTCTTGATTGATTTTTTTTTGTGTGTGTGTATGTGTGTTTTTGTACATAGTGATGACCAGATAGAGGACTCAGACAGTGAAGAGCATTCCAGATCAGAGTCAGTTACAGGTAAAACATTTATTTTCATGTATTAACAATGTTTATTTATTATTTAGCTGCTATGTTTTGTTTTTTTTGTTTTATTAACATCCTACTAATAGATCTCTCCCCTTCTGTATGTGCAGGCCCATTGGGTCAGAAGGAGACGATGGAGGTGAGTTTGGGAGTCACAGCTCTCAGTGTTCTACAACAGCCTGAGAAATTGCAGTGGGAGGTGGTGGCTAGTGTTCTTGAGGACACAGTTAAAGACCTGGAGGAGCTGGGGGCCAATCCTCCACATTCACTGGGCCCCCCTAAAGCAGATAAAGCTAAGGATCGGCCAGCTGAACATCACAACATTCCCTTTCCCTGCCTGCTGGCTGGTGGACTGCTAAGCTATCGGTCAGCGGCTAGTTCTCCACTAGGTCCTCCTCCATCTCGCCGCTCCATGGATAGCCCAGTAAGGACTGCTGCCCCTGAGGGGCTTGCGCCAGACCAGGGGCCTATGGAGATTGAGTCCTGTAACCCTTCAACAGACCTGGGCTCCCCAAACTTACCACCAGCCGCCCCTGTGCATAGGACTATGCCTGTACTGCTCCTGTACAGTATCAAGGAAGCAGATGAGAAGTCTTCAGGGAAGGTGTTCACCCAGATGAACAACCTGATGAGCAAAGGGCTTCATGACGAGGGCTTTACCGTCCCACAGATTATAGAGATGGAGTTTGACTCACATGAGCAGCTGCTGCTGCAGGACCCTCCCATCACTTACATTCAGCAGTTTGCAGATGCAGCTGCTGGGCTTGGACCTCTGGATGGTGAAAAGTGGAGCTCAATGGCTCCACGGCCTGGCTCTCTAGTGCAGTGTTTGCGGTTGCCGAAAGCACTGGAAGAAGAAAATCTGTATGTAGACTCTATCACACCATGCAGTGATGGCTTACACTTGTTAGTTGGTCTTCAGCCGTGCTCTGTAGAGTCTCTTAGCGCAATCAATCAGGTGGAGGTGTTAAACACCCTCAACCGCTTGCACTCGGCTCTCTGTGGCCATCGCAAAGGACAGACAATGGCCAATGGTCATGATGCCCACACGGGCACCTCTCCTCCGCAAACCCCTCTCATCTTGCCCCCTCCTGATCAGCAACAGCCCCATACCTCCAGACCTCTTGGGGGCAGTGGTGGCGGTGGATACCTTGCACTCTACAAGTTGAATTATTCCACTCGCATTGTGACCCTGGAAGAGGAACCTGTGAAGGTGCAGCAGATTCGGGACCCACGGGACGCCGTCACGTCTCTCCTCCTCCTGCCACCAGATGTGCTGGATGGCAGAGAGGATGATGGAGAGGAAACTTCTGAGGAGTCAACACCTTCAGGGCTTAAAAATGGCACGGGGACAGTGGCATCTACAATTACAGCTGGTCCAAGCTTGGGATCAGCCACTGGGAAGGAGAAGAGAGGAGAGGTGGCTGGACTAGGACACCTGGTGGTGACTACACAGGCAGGTTACATCATGATTCTGGACTTATCCACTTTAGAGGTTTTAGCCAAGGTGGAGCCAGCGAAGAAAGAGGGGACAGAGGAGGTGGACCCCTTCGTCTCTGTTACCTACTGCTCAGGCACCGACCGTCTGTGTGCCTGCACAAAAGGTGAGTCATTGTACTGCGTTTTGGCCTATTCATTTGTGATTCATCACACATGTTTGGTTTACAACAAGGTTGTAAGGTATATAAGGTATGGAGATTCATGGTTTCTTTCAGTTTAGTTTGCTGGAGACACCGACTCTCTAGCATTTGACACTGGCATCACTGAGAATTGACCTTGGGGGATTTGAGGTGTAGTGTGTTTGTCCGCTCTGCCTATTTTATGATATGTGTTCATCTCTTGATTAGTTCAGTTAAATATAATTCAGTACAGAATCCAGATCTCTTGAACTGTCCTGTTATATCATCAGCCTTTATCATTCTATTACCTGAAATATGTGGCTAATGAAGGAAACCTGAGTGTTTTTTCTTAAGGGAGGGTAGGGGAATTCCACTTTGTCTTTACTTTCATTTTCTGTTGAGTCACTATTTATTTTACAGTCATTTTATTTAGACAGGCATCACGGTTACTGAGACTTATTTGCAATTAACAATATGACCTTTTCCCCAGATATACGTGTTCCATCTGTGCTATCAATATGAATGTTCAAATTGTGAGGTTGTTAAAGACTGGTAAGGTTAATGTCTGATGGTAGAACACTTGGTTACTTCATGCTTCTTTAAACTTTGAAGGTGGAGAGCTTCATTTCCTTCAAATTGGAGGTGTGTGTGATGATATAGATGACGCCGACATTTTTGTCGACGGACCCCTGTCTAATAGGGCGGATCAGCTACTGGATGGAGCAAAACCCACATCAAATCCTTCAAGCCCTGGTATCACAGGTGAGCAACAAAGGGACTGTTTTCAAATTTTTGTGTGCATGTCTGTCTAAAATAACATTAAACTGATGGTTTACTTCTCTTGACCCTTCTACTACATCACATAGAAGCTGTAAGAAATCATTTGGTCATGCTGAATTGAGCTTAAAACTGCTGATGCACAGTCTGCTTTCTGAGAATTTGTTCTCTGGGTTCTTTGTTCATTGTGTCATATGGCTTCTTTGTAAATCGCACAAATGGTAAAATGGTTTGGATCATAGCCATGGAAATGTACAGCACAGTAAGTCATGTGTCTGTTGACAGGAGTTGACCTCTTGGTGGACCAGCCATTGACCGTAGAGACACTTTCCTCTCTAGTGGAACTAACACGTTTTGAAACGCTCACACCACGCTTCTCAGCAACGGTGCCCCCTTGCTGGGTGGAGGTGCAGCAGGAACAGCAGCAAAGGCGGCACCCACAACACCTTCACCAACAGCACCATGGTGACGCAGCACAGCACACTCGCACATGGAAACTCCAGAGTGACAGGTATCTATTCATATACAACTCCTCATGATATTTATGTCAGTATTTCTGCGGGAAATCAGTAGTTTTCAGTGTTTGTTTTTGCATATCAGGTGTAATACTGCCCTTTCTTTTACTAGCTCCAGTTGGGATGAGCATGTGTTTGAGCTTGTCCTGCCTAAAGCCTGCATGGTAGGACATGTGGACTTTAAGTTTGTGCTGAACAGCAGTATTACTAACATCCCACAAATCCAGGTCACGCTGCTGAAAAACAAAGCGCCAGGCCTGGGCAAAGTTAACGGTGAGTCCAAGAACAAATATTCAACTCTTGAAAGGATAGTTCACCCAAAAATGAAAATTCACTGTTAGTTTATTTCAGGACATCCTACATTTGAGGGTTTTTGTTATTCAGTTGGACAACATTGTAGCTGAAAAGGAGGTCCACCCGGATTCAAAAAAGTGCCTGTCAATGATCACCAGATCCCTTTTATACAAAC